CGGGGCGGCCCACTCGAAGACAACGCCCCGCTAGGCTGGGGGCCGCGGCCCGAGGGGGGGAAAGGGAGAGAGGAGGGGAGGCAATGGACCGGAAATGAAGCGTCTTATCTTCGCTGAGGTTGCAGCAACGTCGAAGTTTCCGATGTCGGTCCTCTCTGCAGCCAGCTCGGGCCGGGACGAGCCGAGCCCAGCCGCGGCCATGATACCGCGCGCAGCTTCTTGTTCGCGGGATAAAATCGCTGATTGATGAGGGAAGAACAAGGGGAGGGTGGGGGGCCTCGCGCGGGGTGGGCCCGCCCGCCCGGCGGAGAGTGGAGGAGAGGAGAGGATACTACATTCAATTTTTCAAAAAGTTTTCGTGCCGGAGACCTCCGCGGAAGTGCAGGGCGATGACTAAAAGATGAGCCTGGCGGATTGTGACGTATGGCGGTGACTGCCTCCCCGTTTGCGATGCACATCCGCGCGAGTGCGGCCGAGCAGACTCAAAGTGCCGGCGGAACTTATGATTTTCCCGGAAAGTGTCCAGAGCAGGGCGCTCTTGAAACTTATATTTCTCTTATTCGTCTTTTCAGATAGCCATTTCCCGCTGTCTTGGAGGAGATCGCGCTGGTGGTACCGCGGCGGTGCCCGGCTCGCTGGCGGTGACCCCGCGGGGGAGACCCTCCCGCTCCGATGCGGGTGGAAGCGATGCGGCAGTTGGAAAGGTCGCCGATGATGTCCGGTTGAGTGAGTGCCCCGCTCCCGCTCCGCCCCGCCGATGACTAAGACCTCCCGGAGGTCGCTCGATGGCGGAGGGTGCGGGGCTGGGGCCTCGGCGAGGGGGTGGGGGAGGGCGGCCCGGAAGGGCGTAGTAAAAAGATGGGGAATCGCAGTGCCGGGGTCGGCCGATGCATGTCGCCGATCTGGTCGGTTTTATCGTCGTAGGCTAGCGGAAATTTGGGGCGCCTGTGTGGGCGGGAGCAGCGGAGTACCGTCGGGACTGGGATGGGGGTTCTATTGGGACCTATGAGGTCCTATCGGGTCCTATTGAGGCCCCGGCGGGCGCAGGTCCACGGGGCGCACCGGCGACCCGAACGGTTTGGCCTCGGGGGATCACCTCCGTATGGGAGTGTGTGGGTGAGTGGGATGGCGTGGGTGAGAAATGTCCGGAAAGACGCGGGAGGGAGAGGACAAAGGAGCAACCGGAAACAGAGAGAGGGACCGGGGAGGTGAGGGCGGGGCGGGGTGGGACTGCACGTACCCCGACAACCACCTGGATGTGTGTCGCAGCGCCGCAGCGTGAACTTGCTGCTGCCGCGGAGTTGCCAATGACTTGACTGTTTGAATGACTTTGCGTGTGCAGCAGGCGGCGCGCGTGGGGGTCGTGCTCATGGTTCCCGACGTGTTGTGCAGGAGGTTGTGTGCGGGAGAAAGGAAGGGAGAAGGGGTGGGGGGGTAGCGCCCCATTTACCCTTCACAGAAAGAAGAGTGAAGAGTGTAATTCGAATATACCGTCTTACATACTAAATGGTAACACTTTTCGAACGTCCGTTTGTCCTTTCTTTTCTTTCTCAGGAAGGGTGAGCTGCCCTTACCCCTCCGCCCCCTACCCCCCTCGTCTTTCTCACTCCCACCCGCTCCCCCTTCATCCTTCCCCTCTCTCCCATGGGGGTTGTTTGTCGTGTCTCACCGCTACAAGTTGAGTTGTCGGTTCCTCAATAATACTCCAAACTCTCTGCGTCGGCATTGTTTCGGTCGCTCCGATTGTCATAGTCGGGGTCCGTAGCGCGCGCCAGGCGGGGCGGGCGGGCGGCACTTCGCAGGACCCTCCTCCCCTCCTCCCCTCTCACTCCCTATATCCCCGCTCGCGCTTTGCCCTCCCCCTCCCCCCTCCTCTCTGCGCAACAAGGAGTCGCCTTAATGTGATTTCCATGTTTGCCTGGAGTGGGGGAGGGGATAGGGGAGTTGCCGTTTCCAGGTGAGCTTTGGAGCGGCAAGTTAGAGCGAAGGCCCTTATATGGTATTAGCTGCTATTGCACACCCTGTGAGGAAAAACAAATTGTGAAACATAATTAATTAGTGAACCAAGTCAAACGCGAAAATACTAGTGACCACTAGACTCAACTACTACCTAGCATGTTTCAGTTTCAGTGGGAAAGTAGTTTTGAGATTCTAGTTTAAATGTGAATATTTGAGTTTTAGTTTTTGAACAGTGTCAATAGACCATTATTGGTACCATTAAGTTGTGCTTGTTTTTCTTTTACATTCGATTTGGTATTCTTATCTTTTATGCTTATCCGTTAGTTTCACGCTGTTGCCAGTAGGTCAGTAATTGCAACTGTAGTCACGTTCATGTATTGTGTGCCCTGCAGTCCGACGGCACGCACGATACCGTGAGCGAGCTGGTGTTCACCGCGACGCGCTACGAGAACGGCGAGTCACTGACATGCGAGGGCACCAACGAGGTCCTGCAGCAGCACAGCGAGCCACCCATGAGGAAGACCGTCGCGCTGGAGGTCATGTGTAAGTACCCAGAGAATGTTACAGCCATGTTAATGTGTGGATCGAGATCAAAGACACCGCCGAATACGATAAATAATCATTAAAATAATATGGCGGGGGAAAACTTTTTCGATGAAATCGTTCGACCATCCCGCTCTCTCTCACTGCGTGTGTGGAGAGAAATGAGTTCAGGTAGGCCTGCCCGCGTGCCGCCAATAAATTTTTCCCGCGCAACTAATTTTGACAGTGGAGTATAGTGGGACGTGGGGGTCTTTGTCAGCGCTTTAATCGCCCGGAACGCGCCGACCGACTTTACCTGTGCGGGGGGTCCAGCTAAAACTCTACACCACAAAAATGTACGTCGAAATGTAACGTTCAAAACATATAAACGTTAGAGTTAAAATTAATCCTGATAATTATCATTATTGTGTACATTGACGTGTACCGCGTCGTACGCCCGCGCACCGGTCGATCAACAATATTTAATATTCGGCGTGGGATCTTGGGTCCGTTGCTCGGTTACTGCGTTGTTTGGTCTGATCCCGCAAACATTGCGCACCGCGATTGTTTCCATTTCGTTGGGATCTGCTCGGCATTAAGGGATCATCCACTCTCCTGGCGAAGGGACCGTGATATCGGAAGGGGAGGTGGAGCGGTAGAGCAGCGGGAGTTGAGAAGGGTTTCGGCCGAGAATGAGAGAGGGGGCCAATGAGGGGGAGTCGCATCACTGAACCTCCTGTTTTGCAACGTTCTTCTTTTTTATGGTAAATGAAAAGTATTACAACCAAAATGTTTTCAATTACCCTTGGTTTAAACTTATAAAGGGAAATGTCTGCAAACTTATTTGCTGTTTAGTTGTTTGTCGTAGAATAAATTGGATAGCAAATTGGTGCATTACACTAAAAAAAGGAAGAAATTCCTCTTCGTGAGTGTGGCGCCGGCGGCTGGGTCTTTTGGCTTTATGACGTCGGTTAAAAGAGTGGCGCAAGTTTTCTCGTTTTGAAACAAAATGTGCCGCGCCGCCGTAAAACGTTGCGCGCGCGCGTGTATGTGTGTGCGAAATTATTTTTGCCACAACGCCAAGGCGCACTGCGTAGACCGTGCAAGCCCCATATATTTAGTTAATCGTGCGTCGTCGTCCGGGAAACCCTTACCATATAGAAAGCACCACCGCGACGAACAGAATGGACGGGAAATGGTTCGATTACAGTAAAGCAGAAGAGTTTCATGGGAAGGAAGAAGTCCGGAAGCGCCAGTAGCAAAGGCTCTCTGGTGTTTGTGAATCATCCACGCTGAAATTGGAATTGCCCCCTTCCTCCCTACCCCTATTTCTCTTACCCCTACTGTCTTCCTTTCGTCGCCTTCCCTTATTTGCTGAGTTTATAACAAGTACACCTTTCATAATGATT